CCTTCATGGTATCAAGAAGTATCAACACTGTTCTTTATGGTACCAAGAATGAACACTGTCTGTCAGGGATGCACAAGTTACAAGTAACGTTGGATAAGGGATAGGATTGCAATTTTATTCTGTAGTATGTGATATAATTCACATGACAAATAGCCAGTACAGGCTGCCTAGCTTGTTTTGTTTCTCTTTTCCCTTTGTCTTTTCCTAAGGCTGTCTGTTGATCTTGGCATTGGCTTGTCTCTCTGGTTGAAGATTGAGCTATTTGAGCAGCCTGAAGCACATTGGTGAACCCTGTGATTTTTAATAGAGTCCATCTGTCTGTGTGTCAGTGCTGGGAAATCAACTGTTCCATTTTCCATTCTTTGTTCACTCTCCCCACCACAATAGGCCTGCGAATAGCTGAGGAATGGGCTGCATCTAATAATTGAGAATAGTATGAATAATTTTATTCCAGGAAAGAGGCATGTATCATGGTTTATTGATTTTATTTCATTTCTGAACAGTTCCTGCATATTGTGTGCGCGTGCTTTGTCTCTTTTTTTTTGACCTACAGCTGATGGTAGCAAAACCCAAGCAACCAGAACTCATAAATAACTTGTAAAAAGTGAATTAGATGCTGACATTTGGTTTAATAGAAGCTGTGAAGGATGTGGGGAGGAACAGCAGCAGAAGTACATGGTTGTTTGGGAATTGGCACTGACCCAATGAGTAGAATGACCTTGTGTGGATAAAATGCTATATTTTGCAAACAAGATAACCAGTGATTTCCTAATCAGCTGCTTTGCTTGATACCATGATGCTTGGCTCCAAGTTTGAATGCTCTTAGAATTCCCCTTTTAACCAGTGTCACTGCTGGATGAGTCAGATTCTTTTGTTCCAAACCTTAGCTTGAAAGATGAGAGAGGAAGTGTCATGCAGCAATAACGATTTGCATTTACATAGCAACTTTAATTGTAGTGCAACACTCTTGGACATTCCATATGATGGTAATCAAAAAATTGACATTGTCATGTAAGGGTTCATAGGGAAGGTGACCAAAGTCTTGGCTGGTTTAAATATCACCATTTGTGCTGAGGCTCCCCTGACCTGCTCAGATTTTCAGTTTGGGAATTTGGTGGACGTTCGGGAGAATCGTCGTGTGAACCAAACTGAGAAAGAGGATCTTGTCTTTGAATGCCATCTAGAGGTGGTCACACTTCAGTGTCCACAGCACTGTGTGTCTCAGAGCCTTGTGCTGCTTGATGGAAGAATATGTAAAGGTAAAGTCACCACAGTCATACAGGACTGCTCGAGAGATGACTGATGGTGAGTTTAAACTGAGGGTCACTGTGCCTTGGGAAGGCAGGACCTTCATGGCAACTTCAGCTGCTGCTGGAGTTCAACCCATCCTGTTGGTTTCACTCTGCATCGTAAAGCAGCCATAGCAAACTGACCTCCTGCAAAATGTGCGCTGACACAGCTACCTGGATCATTGCCTATTGAACAACTTAGAACACGACAGCTCACCTGCTGATATTCCGAACCACTCGGAACGACAGGTAGCCAAGGTTCCTTGTACGGACTGGAATACAGTTGGTTTTCGGAGGATTAAGTGTGGGGGTTTGAGGTGCGGTCATCTGTAAGAGGTGAGGGCTGATGGTCAGTGTTGGGGGTGGTGAACATCGTTCCTGATGGTCTCCCACTATTTGCAAGAGGACTCTACACTTCAGGCACGGGGCTCCAAGGTTATCCATGGAACAGTTTTTATTTACTCCTAGAATGTGGGTGTCACTGGCTGGGCCCAGCATTTATTGCCCATCCGTAGTTGCCCTTGAGAAGGTGGTGTGTGCTGCCTTCTGGAATGACTGCAGTCTGTTTGCTACGGGTTGACCCTGAGGGAGGAAGTTCCAGGCCTCAGCATCTGTGAAGGAACAGTGATATCCTTCCAAGTCAGGATGATGAGTGGCTTCATAAGAACATAAGAACCAGGAGGAGAAGTAGGCCATCTGGACCTTCAAGTCCACTCTGCCATTCAGTAAGGTCATGGCTGATCTTTTCATGGCCTCAGTTCCGCTTACACACCCTCTCGGCATAATCCTTAATTCCTTTACTATTCAAAAAATTACCTATCTAAGCTTTAAAATCATTCAGTGAGGAAGCCTCAACTATTACATCTGTGCAGGGAATTCCACAGATTCACAACACTGAGTGAAGAAGTTCTGCCTCAATTCAGTCCTAAATCTGCCTTACCTAAATTTGAAGCTATGCCCTCTCTTATTTTTTTGTTCTAGTTTCACCTGCCAGTGGAAACAACCTCCCTGCTTCAATCTCACCTCTTCCCTTCATAATTTTACATGTTTGTATAAGACCCACCCCGCTCATTCTTCTAAATTCCAAAGAATATAATCGCAGTCTACTCAATCTCTCCTCATAAGCCAGCCCTCTCAACTCTGGAATCAACCTAGTGAATCTACTCTGCACCTCCTCCAGTACCAGTACATCCTCCCTTCAGTAAGGAGACCAAAACTGCATGCATTACTCCGGGTTTGGCCTCACCAGCACCCTATACAGCTGCAGCATAATCTCCCTGCGTTTAAAACCAATCTCTAGCAATGATGGACAAAATTCCATTTGCCTTCTTAATTACCTGGTGTACCTGCAAACCAATTTTCTGCAATTCAAGCATAAGGACACACAGGTCCCTCTGTACAGCAGTATACTGTAATTTTTTACTTGTCAAACAATAGTCCTTTTCACTCTTATTCCTGCCAAATTGGATGACTTCACATTTATCAACATTGTACTCCATTTGCCAAACCTTTACCTACTCACTTAAACTATCTATATCCCTCTGCCAACTTTGACACGCTACAAATGATTCCCAACTCCAAATCATCTATGTAAATTGTAAACAATTACGGTCCCGACACTGATCCCTGCAGCACACTACTAGCCACTGATCGCCAACCAGAAAAGGACTCATTTATCCACACTCTTGACTTTCTGTTAGTTAACCAGTTCTTTATCCATGCTAATACATTGCCCGTAACACCTTTATCTTATGCAGCAGCCTCTGAGCAGCATCTTGTTGAATGCTTTTGGAATTTCAGTTACACTACATCTACTGGGTCCCTGTTGTCCACTGCTCATAATGTCTTCATAGAATTCCAGTAAGTGAGTTAAGCATGAACTGCCTTTCATGAACCCATGCTGTGTCTACACAATGGGACAATTTCTACTTCGATGTCTTGCTATTTCTTCCTTGATGATAGTTTCAAGCGTTGTCTCCACCACAGAGGTTAAGCTAACCGGCTTATAATTCCCCATCTTTTGTCTGCCTCCTTTTTTAAACAGTGGTGTCACATTTGCTGTTTTCCAATCTGCTGGAGCTGCCCAGAGTCCAGCGAATTTTGGAAAATTACCGCGAGCACATTTGCTATTTCTCCGACTATCTCTTTTAGTACCCTGGGATGCATTCTATCAGGGCCAGGAGACTTGTCTACTTTTAGCTCCATTAGCTTGCCCAACACTCCCTCTTTCACGATAATGATTGTGTCCCCACCTACCTTAGTCTCCTTGTCATCAATTACTGGCATGTTATTTGTGTCCTCCACTGTGAAGTCCAACACACAATGCCTGTTCAACGCCTCAGCTATTTCCTTATTTCCTGTTATTAAATCTCCCTTCTCGTCCTCTGAAGGACCAATGTTGACCTTAGCCACACTTTTTTTTTGTTTTATATATTTGTTTCAAGGGGAACTTGCAGGAGTTGGTGTTACCATGTATCTGCTGCCCTTGTCCTTCTAGGTTAAGGTGGTCATGGATTGGAAGGTGCTCTGTGAGGATCTTTGAACTTTTGCAGCCCATCTTCTGATTGTGCTAACTGCTGCAACGCCACGTCAGTGGTGAAGGGAGTGGATGTTTGTGTTGGCACTAATTAAGTGAGTTGCTTTGTCCTGGATAGTGTCAGGTTTCTTGATCTGATCAAGCCCAAAGTCCCTGCCTAACTTTAAAAGTCTCAGTGGATCAGTTTTTCTACGTTTCGATACAAAGTAATGTTGCTTGAACCCAATCTTGAGAACGAAACATATCCATTGACACTTGTTTTTCTTTTGAGTTGCTAATTATCTCTCTTCACTCGGGGCCCATGCTGGCCAAATTGGACCCTTCCACCTGCAGTGACATTCTGGCTGTTTCATTTTGTGTACCAGGGCATTGTGGGTCGACCTACAGCAAGTGGACTGCAGCAGTTAAAGAAGGCAGCTCACCACCACCACCTTCTCAGGGGGCAACTCGGGGCCACAAAAAACTGCTGGCCCAGCCAGAGTAGCTCGCATCACACAAGTAAATTTAAAAAAAAACTGTTGTATCGCTAACCTTGGAATACCTTCTGCCTGAGGTGTAGCGTCCTGCTCTCGCACAGAGTGTCATTTTGTTAACGATGGAGTAAGCTTGAGTGGCCGAATGGCCTACTCACGCACCTTGTTTGTGTGCTTGAGGTGCAAATTTGCTATGATTGGAGAGAATGGTGGGCCAGTCCCAAGGGACTGAATGGCCACTTGCTGAGGGTCATGAGCATACTGTAAGGTATCAGGAGTTGAAGTTACAGCTGGTGCGTTGCCCACAGTGATGAGGGGAGACAATGGCCTAGTGGTATTATCGCTGGACTGTTAATCCAGAGACCCAGATAACATTCTGGGGACCCGGGTTCGAATCCTGCCACGGCAGATGGTGGAATTTGAATTCACTAAATATCTGGAATTAAGATTCTAATGATGAGCATGAATCCATTGTCAATTGTCGGAAAAACCCATCTGGTTCACTAATGCCCTTTAGGGAAGGAAACTGTCAACCTTACCTGGTCTGGCCCACATGTGACACCGGACCCACAGCAATGTGGTTGACTCTGAACTGACCTCTGGGCAATTAGGGATGGGCAATAAATGCTGCCTGGTCAGTGACGCCCTCATCCCGTGAATGAATAAAGACTAATCATCCCTCTTGAATGTCTCAATCTACAGGTCATGTTAAAGTGAAGTGCAAAGAGGAGCAAATCACGGCCAAGGCTGGAGAAGATGACATCATCCAGTGCCGGTTTTATTCCAGAAACAAGGCTGGCAGCGTGGCTTTCGTTTGGAAGAAGGAGGATGCTGCAGGGATTATCTACAATTACACAATGAGGCACAGCAGTCTGGAGGAGCAGGAGCCCAGCTACCGTGACAGAGTCGAGGTCTTTGACAATGAGATTCCGAAAGGGAACGTGTCTCTGAGATTGAGGAATGTGACTCTCTCTGACTCTGGTATCTACAAACTCTCCGTTGCCACCCGTTCCCAAAGCACTGAGACACAAGTCTTGCTCAGTATAAGAGGTAAGAATAGGCAACTCTCATCTCATTGACTAAAACAAAAATGGATTCATTGCTTCTTTCAGAAACTCTTGTACAGGTGTCAGTCTGATCATGATTGGAGAAAAGCAGTATTTAAACTTGGATACTAAAAGCATTTATTATACAGATATATATATATATTTTTAAAAATCAAAATTAAATCCTGTCCTGGGCTTTGTTTGTGTTCCTTCCCTCAATCTGCGCCCAGCATCTTTCCACAGCAGCTCAAGCGAGTCCAGGAAATCATCGTGTGTGGGATTGGGATCATGGCTTGAGACATTTGCTATTACTTGTGGTCGTATGTCAGAGCTCTAACACAATGTGCCACATTGCTGCCTCCTTATTCATCAGTGCTTTTTAAAAGCAGAAGGGATCTGGAGAGGAGTACTTTCAGTGGAAGTACTGCTGCTCCCATCTGGACAAGGTAATTTAAAACGTGTATGATGCCTCTGCCTTGGAATGCATTGTCTGTCATCTCGTTGGGCTGATAAAAGTAACGTATATACCGTAATCGTCTCATTGGTTGTTATACAGTGCACATTTGATCTACTAAATGTTATTGGTCCCTGGGTGATGACTCCTCGATGGGTGGAGTTTTTAGAAATTATAATTATTATTACCCTCTTTCGTGCAGTGGAGGGGTTTCTGGCAAGGTGGATTTCTGTTTTCCATCTCCCTGGTTGCCCGAAGATCGGGCTGATAACTACCCTCTGAAGTGAGCCAGTTGAGGATCAGTCATGTTCAAGTCCCTTGCACACCTAGATTTCTTTCCTGGAAGGGTAATTGAAGAATGGGACTTCTGATTTGGGATGAGTTAGGATTTGGGCAGTCCAGTTTTCTAAGTGCTCAGATTTATGGAGATTGCGGGTCTGACCAGAATAGTCTCAAATAAGTTGTACCTGGACATAACACAACCATGGGCCAGTTTCCCCAGCAAATGGGCTGAGTTGTGTGGTAACTGCATAGTTCACAAGTGATCGCGTCTACCCCTGTTCAACAGAGAGAGTGTGAGTTGATTACATAACTTGAGGGGCTCTGCACATTAAGCTAGGGACAAGGAGCTATGCGGCCTTCAATTTCCACGGTCAAAGTCATTCTGCATCACACTCTGGCCATGTAACCAATTGAACTGAAGTGTGGAGATGGTTTATACTATGCAGGAGCAGAAGTAGGCATCTTGGGTCTTAAGGGATTTGGGATGAGCAGCTCAGGTTAGGGTCATATCTGTGCAGCTTACTCATCCTGCCTTTTTGCTTTGTAATAATCGTGAGAGTTCCTTCTGTCCAATGGAATTATGTTTCAAGTCTTTCCCAGTCACTGAGGATATAGAACAGCAGCTCTTGTGAATCTGTCTCCTTTATGACCTGGGATACTGATCAGAGGCTCCAAGCTAGGGTAGTGTTATGGACCAGACCAGACCCCCTCAAAATATACTAAGAAGATAGCCTAGACCCTAACCTTTTCTTACTTTAAAGGTAAAACGTTAGGTGTGGTGTTCCAGATATAATTCGGCTTGTTGAACTACTTGACATTAAGCAAAACACAATTTATTCAAACACTGTAATTAAAATATACCAAAAGAAAGAGGAATTCAGGATAACTTGACTCTATTGGAAAACTTAACAGAATACTGGGTACACTAACAATTGCTAATTAACTATTCCAATATAGTAACATCCCATAAACACACCTCTTTGGCAAAAAGGCAAATTTAGCAAACAGATTTGTCTCGTGCAATCCAGCAGCCCAGGAAGAGAACACCCTGCTTTTGGCTGTGATTGAGAGAGGGAAAAATAGCTTCCACTTCAAGACCTGAACAGCAACTGCCACTGAAAGCTAAAAGTCCTGGTACTGTGGGTGGGAGCATGATCACACCCACTCAGGGTGCTTCTATTGTTCGAAATTTCTTTTTTAAAAAAAATCTCAAGCTACACAAGTTTCTTATTCAGTAAGCGGATGTACCTACTAGAGAAGGTGCAAAACTTGACCTACTCATGGGAAATAAGGCAGGGCAGGTGCCTGAGGTGTCAATGGGGGAGCATATTTTGGAGCCAGTGACCATAATTCTACTAGTTTTAAAATAGTGGTGGTAAAGGATAGACCGGATCTAAAAATTAAAGTGCTAATTTGGAGGAAGGTCAATTTTGAAGGTATTCGGCAAGAACTATCAAAAGTTGATTGGGGGCAGATGTTCGCAGGTAAAGGAATGGCTGGAAAATGGGAAGCCTTCACAAATGAGATAACAAGAGTCCAGAGATAGTATGGTCCCATTAGGGTGAAGGGCAAGGCTGGTAGGTGTGGGGAGTGCTGGATGACTAGAGAAATTGAGGTTTTGGACAAGAAAAGGAAGGAAATATATATCAGGTATAGACAGCAGGGATCAAGTGAATTCCCAGAAGAGTATAAAGGCAGTAGGAGTATACTTAAGAGGGAAATCAGGAGGATAAAAAGGGGGACATGAAATAGTTCTGGCAAATACAGTTAAGGAGAATCCAAAGGGATTCTATAAATACATTAAGGACAAAAGAGTACCTGGGGGGAAAAAAAAAGCCCCTTAAAGATCAGCAAGGCTGTCTATGTGTGGAACCCAGGAGATGGGTGAGATATTAAACTAGCATTTTGCATCATTGTTTACTGTGGAGAAGGATCTGGAACATGGAGATCGTGGGGAAATAAGTAGCAATAACTTGAAAAATGTCCATATTACAGAAGAGGAGGTGCTGAACATCTTAAAATGCATAAAGGTGTACGCTGGAAGGTTTTTGAAAAGATTTGTAGCTTGGGTCGTGGGTGAGGTTATTGACTTGCTCGCCAAGCTGGCTTGTTTTTGTTCAGACATTTTGTCACCATGCTAGGTAACATCATCAGTGAGGCCTCTGATGAAGCAATGTTGTTCTACTCCGTCTGGAATTTATACTGTCTGGTCTGTTATGGTGAATTGTGTCATTTCCAGTTTTGTTCTGTATGGGTTTGTATATGGGGTCCAATTCTATGTGTGTTAATTTGCATTATGGGTTGAGAACCATGCCTCTAGGAATTCCCTTACCAACAGGTGGCGATAGACCCAACACTGCAGCTAGGAAATAGGATCACCCAGACTCTGAAGAGACGAAAGGATGCAGGACAGATAAACAAGATGGACTACATGTGAATGAAACCAGAAGGCACAAACACCTCTTCCCCCACCGCTTCTACATATTCCCTAAAATACACAAACCAGACATCCCCCTCAGACGCATTGTCTCCCTACCGGGCACACCTTCACACAATCTGGCCGAGGACCTACAACAGAGACTGAAACGCCTTGTCGATGGATCACTCCATTCCATTCACTCAACCTAAGAATTCCTCAATGCCCTAAAGAAAATAAAAATCGGCGATGACGAGATTATGGTCTCCTAAACGTCATAGCATTAAACACATCATTCGACATCCCACTAGCCAAAGGAAACAGTGGCCACACTACTAGAGAAAGCAGCAATGCAGACCAGCAGCTCCATCAGCAATGACAACATAGTTAAACAACTAGACTTGTGCCTCACCGCACACTTCGTCTTTAATGGCCAAGCATTCAAACAGATCAATGGCACACCCATGGGGTCACCCATCTGAGGATTCATTGCAGAGGCAGTCACGCAAAGATTAGAACACACTAGCCTCCCCCTTATTCAACCTAAACTGTGGATCCAGTACATGGATGACACATTTGTCATCATTAAACGCACCAAACTAGAAGAGACCCACCACCTCATCAACAACGTATTCGCCAGGATTAAATTCACAAGGTAAGAAGAAAACAACAATCAGCTTCCATTTCTGGGCATCAAAGTTGAACATATGACCAAAGGGGAGTTCCAAGCCTCCGTATACAGAAAAGCAACCCACACTGAACAAATCCTCAACTTCCGCAGCAACCACCCCAACGTCCACAAACAAAGCTGTACTGGGACACTATTTAAACGGGCCACCACTCACTGCAACACGCCAGAACTACGCAGGAAAGAGGAAGAGCACCCATACAAAATCTTCGCTACGAACGGATATCCCGCAACTTCATCCGCAGGTGCCTACTAAATAGACAACAACAAGAGGACACAGTACGCCCTAACACACTGGCCACACTGCCCTACATCAAGAACATATTGGAACCGACAACAAGTCTCCTAAGACGACTAGGAATCATGGTGGCCCACAAGCCCATAGCCACTGTATGACAAACACTCACAAGGATTAAAGACCCCATTCCCATAGCATGCAGAACCAACATGGTTTACAAAATACCATGCAACGATTGCCACAAACGTGACATCGGACAGACAGGAAGGAAACTAGCCATCAGAATACACGAAACATCAGCTAGCAGCAAAACGACACAACGAACTTTCCCTAATATCATACATTCGGACAGTGAAGGCCAACAGTTTAACTGGGACACCATAACCATAGTAGCCCAAGCCAAACATAAACATGGATGGGAATTCCTAGAGGCATGGTTCTCAACCCATAATACAATCAATAAACATTTAGAATTGAACCCATGTACAAACCCATACAAAGCAAAACTAGGAATGACACAACTCACTGTAACAGACCGGACAATATAAATCCCAAGCGGAGTAAAACAACATTGCTTCATAGGAAGCCTCGCTGATGATGTTACCTAGCATGGTGACGAAATGTCTGAACGGAAACAAGCCAACTTGGTGTGTATGCTTGAACTCTGGGAAGCTAGGGAAGAGATTGTTGGGTCCCGTCCTGAGATATTTGTATCATTGACAGCCACAGGTGAGGTGCCAGAAGACTGGAGATTGATTAATGTGGTGCCACTGTTTAAGAAAGGTGGTAAGGAAAAACCAGGGAACTATAGCCCAGTGAGCCTGACATCGGTGGTAGGCACGTTGTTCGAGGGAATCCTGAAGGACGGGCTATACATCTATCTAGAAAGCCAAGGATTGATTAGGGATAGTGAACATGGCTTTGTGCATGGAAAGTCGTGTGTTACTAGCTTGAATGAGTTTTTTGAAGAAGTAATGAAGAAGTTGATGAGGGCAGAGTGTATGGACTTCAGTAAGGCATTTGACAAGGTTCTTCATGGTAGATTGGCTAACAAAGTTAGATCACACAAAATACAGGGAGAAGTAGCTATTTGGATACAGAACTGGCTCGAAGGTCAAAGACCGAGGGTGGTCGTGGGGGTTGCTTTTCAGACTGGAGGCCTGTGACCAGCAGTGTACCACCAGGATCGATGCTAGGTCCACTGCTTTTTGTCATTTTATATATGATTTGCACGTGAACATGGGACATATGGTTAGTAAGTTTGCAGATGACGCTATAAAATTGGGAGATGTGGTGGACAGTGAAGAAGGTTACTTCAGAGTACAATGGAATCTTGTTCAGAGGGGCCAATGGGCCGGGGAGTGGCAGGTGGAATTTAATTTGGATAAATTAAGTGCTGCATTTTGGAAAGGCAAATCGGGGCAGAATATATACACTTAATGATAAGGTCCTGGGGCGTGGTGCTGAACAAAGAGACCTTGGAGTGCAAGTGAAACTTGAAAGTAGGGTCGCAGGTAGACAAGATAGTGAAGAAGGCATTTGGTATGCTTGCCTTTATTGTTCAGTGTATTGAGTTGGGAGGTCATGTTGCGGCTGTACAGGACATTTGGTTCAGCTACTTTTGCAGTATTGCATGCAGTTCTGTTCTCTTTGCCATAGGAAGGATGTTGTGAAACTAGAAAAGGTTCAGAGAAGATTTACGAGGATGTTGCCAGGGTTGGAGGGTTTGAGCTACAGGGAGAGGCTGAATAGACTGGGGCTGTTTTCCCTGGAGAGTCGGAGGCTGAGGGATGACCTTGTAGACGTTTATAAAATCGTGAGGGCCATGGATAGGATAAATAGACCAGGTCTTTTCCCAGGGTGTGGTAGTCCAAAACTAGAGGACATAGGTCCCTTTTATATCTTTCCCCTGTCACCTTAAACCTAAGGGGCAACTTCTTCATGTAGAGGGTGGTGGAGAAAGTGGTGGAGGCTGATAGGATTACATTTAAAAGGCATCTGGATGGGTATGCGTATAGGAAAGGTTTTACTGGCAGATGGGACTCGATTTTATATAGAATATCTGGTCAGCATGGACGAGTTGGACCGAATGGTCTGTTTCCGTGCTGAATGTCTCTTAAGTTGTTCATCTTCTCATAGACTGTTCGGTATGTGTCCTGCAAGCGCTCTCTTGAATAAACCAGCACAAAATACCCCTTTTAAAGGCAGAGCATCCTCACGGGAGACATATTTGCTGAGTGCCACATAGTTACCTGGACGCACTGAGCTTCTCCAGTCAATTTTCAGAGCTGGATGGGGCGTGGAGTTGAGACACACACTGGTCTTAATGAGATAGCTGAATAACTCCTTGTCAGACGATTAGTTTCTGAGTCCCTTTGGAGCCAAATGAGAGAGAGAGAGAATTTATACGGCATCTTTTATTATGAGCAAAGCAGTTTGCAGAATAATGAGAGATTTTCGAGTTGTAGTGGTTGTTGTAGCATAGCATGTGCAGCAGGCAGTTGACACTCGGCAAGGTCCCACAAGTAGCATTTGATAACCATGTCATGTCCTGGCCAAGACACCCAAGAAGAGTTTCCCCACCAGCTTTTGAGAATAGTGGCTGTGGGATTTCTGTAACCCCAGCTGAGGGGGCAGGTTGGACACGGATTTTATTCCTTATTTGAAAGGCAGCTCCTCCAACAGTGTAGCACTACCTCAATGTTGCACTGAGAGTGTTGTCTCAGTTTAGTGCTCAGGTCTCTGAAGTGGAGCCTCAAAGTTACGACATTCTGACAGTGAGATGAGAATGCTGCTCACTTGGATATGGCTGGAAGCTACAAGCACACCCTTTGCAATGAGAATTTCTTTAAAACCCCTCATGTTTCTTAACAAATTCAATTAATCAGGTGACAGATGGTGAAATTCTAGAGGTGGAGGGTTTGAGCACTGCGTGAAGCTTCTGCTATCTGCCAAGCAGCATAAGTAAAGTTCTGGGGCAGCTTTGGAGAGGTTGTTTCCCCAAGCAGGAGAGTCTAGTACTCTGGTGCTAGACCGGAGGGTAAAATTTCAGAATAAGGGGTCGTCCATTTCTAGACAGAGATAAGGGATTTCTTCTCTGAGGGTAGTGAATCTGTGCAGTTCCTTACTGCAGAGAACTGTAGAGGCTGTGTTGTTAAAAATGTATCGCAGCCTTGAATATACTTAAATCAATAGGGGATCAGGGGTTATAGGGAAAAGGCAGGAAAGTGGAAGGATTATCAGGTCAACTGTGATCTCATTGAATGATGTGATAGACTCGATGGACTAAATGGTCTACTTCTGCTCCTACTTCTTATGGTCCCACACTTATGGTTTTGGGCCACCATGGTGGCTCAGTGGGTAGCACTGCTGCTTCACAGTGCCAGGGACTTGGGTTCGATTCCACTCTCGTGTCTGTGTGGGTTTCTGCCATGTGTTCTGGTTTCATCCCATAGCCCAAGGATGTGCAGGTTAGGGTGGATTGGCCATGCTAAATTGCTCATAATGTCCAGGGATGTGCAGGTTAGGTGGATTAGCCATAGATATGCAGGGTTAGAGGGATAGGGTAGGGGAGTGGGTCTGGATGGGATGCTCCTTGGAGGATCGGTGTGGACATGATGGGCTGAATGACCTGCTTCCACACTGAAGGGATTCTGTGGGGACCATTATGGCAACTGGATTATTAAAGGTGCAAGTGAATGGTGGGAAATTGCCTGCTTCTTGTCAGTTTTGCAGTGCAATCAGTTTAGGGAATAATAGAAAAATAATCAGAATTATAGAAGGAATTTATTTCCCTTTAGGTTTTTAACTGTGATTTGTACTGGAGCAAAGATAGCTGTCTGCTCCAGGTCACCTTCCGCACTGATTCCTGGTTTTCTTACTTGGGAGATGAGAGAGTTGTCCCTGAGCCATGACTATAAGATTCAAAGGGCCAAATTTTCAGGGCACAGTGAAGAGGGTGGGTCCTGGCAAAAGATTGTGATTGAACAATACGCAGAAATCTTAATATCAAGTATTTTTTTAGCTGGACATTGCTGGAAAGTACAGCAACCAGGTTCTCACTTCTGAACTTTTCATTTGCTGCCGCAGACTACCTGATGTTATAAAACCTCTTGGAATTTAATTTGGCCACAAGATCAGCCAAATATGTGGTGGTGTGTATCAGAAACGTTGAGAGAATGAAGACATTGTTTACTGAAGAATATTGAACTTGAATTAACCCATCTGCCAGTGTCACTGTCTGTCTTTTATATGCATGTGAATTATGTTGAATTGTACAGCACAGGAAGATGCTATTCCTCCCATTGGAACTAGCTCTGACTCTTTGAAAATTGACCCTCCAATTGGTCCTACTGACCTGCTTAATTGCCCATATCTCTGCAAATCTTCCTTTTGTGTATTTATCCAGTTGCTTACTGACTGTAATCATAGAATCTGCTTCCACTGCCCTTTCAAGCAGCACATTGCAAATCATAATGATGTGCTACAACTAGGAAAAAGTTCTCCTTTTCAATTTGTTCCCAATTATCCTAACTCTGGCCTCTGATCCTTTTGCCTCCAGAAGCAGTAGCTCCTTCATAACAAACTCTTAAGTTTGAGAATCCGTGTCGGTTTCCCCACCCTGTCTTGGTCTTCTCCATTCAAAGGAAAACACCCCTATCTTCTCCACATACAAAACTGGAGTGTGTCATCTGTGGAATATCAACAGAAAATGCTTGAGATGCTCAGCAGATCTGGCAGCATCTTTGGAGAGAGGAAAACGGAGTCAACGTTTTGAGTCCAGTATGGCTTTTCTTCAGAACCCACACTGAACTCTAAACGTTAGCTCTGGACCTCTCTTCACTGATGCTGATAGACCTGCTGAGTTTCTCCAGCCCATCATTTTATTCCAGATTTTCAGCATCTGCAGAATTTTGCATTTATTTGTGTCAACCGTGGTCTCATTTTAAGTAAATCTCCTCTGCACCTCGTTCACGGTCTTTTTTAATCCTTCCTTAAGATTAATTGTCTGAATTGGACACATGATCCTAGTTGATGCCTAACTGTTATTTTTTGAAGGTTAACCATAATTTCCTTTCTTTTGTCCCTGTTCGTAAAGCCCAGGATCACATGGCACGTCAACTTGTTGTTAAAGGCAGTTTACTGAAGCCAATTCAACTTCAACAAGAGTCTGCTTCCATCCCCTTCTCTTCTGGCCTTCCCTGCCCTATTCCCACTTCATAACTGTAACCATAAAGAGGGTCATCGATTCTCAAGCAGTTGTCCTGTGAGAGCCCCAATGGACAGCAGTGTTGGTGTTTTAAAGAGGACTCAATGAGGTAAGGTTTCATCTGCCTTGCTGACTCAGTTCAGATTGTTTGCTTTTTGCTTTGCAGCTCTTGGCACGCAGCCTGTCATTCATTCACCTTCCGATGACCTGGGTCTATTGGTGCTGGTCTGCGAGTCCTCAGGGTGGTACCCGGCTCCTAGCGTGACCTGGGAAAATGGACTAGGCAAGAATCTGACCAGCTACTCGCACACACAGCTAACTAACTGCACGGGTGGCAGTGTCTGTGTGAAGAGCACGCTAGAAATGGATAACTGGCCCACTGGCAACTACACATGCACGATGTGGGACCAGGAGTTGGATGAGGGATTGTCATCTACTTTCACGCTGAGTGAGTATGGCAAATGATATTGCAGTAAAAGTGTGTGAAATGGGTAATGTCAGTGAAACTGTCTAAAGCAGCCTGAAAAATTAAATCCAGCTTTTATTCAGTGGATTGCTCTATTCTGATTTTTCATAGCCTGTTCTGGGGGTCTGTTCTCAAAGCTTGTAAGATAGTTGGTAATAATGACGGGCAAGGATAAGAATTTTATTTTACACTGAGTTATGATGATCTAGAATGCACTGCATGCACAAGTGGAGGGGACAAAGTGAGTTGGATAAATACTTGAAAAGGAAGCGTTCCCAAGTCTAGGGGGAGAGAATGGAGGAGTGGGACCAATTGGACAGCACTTTCAAAGAGCTAGCACAGATGAAATGGGCAGACTGGCCTTCTATGGTCTGTCTTTCTGCCAATAACACATATTTTCTATTGAAAGTCATTCATAAAACCATAAGATACAAGAGTAGAATTAGGCCATTCGGCCCATTGAGTCTGCTTCGCTATTCGATCACAGCTTGATATGTTTCTCAATCCCATTCGCCAGCCTTCTCCCTGTAAACTTTGACCCCCTTAATCAAGAACCTATTTATCTCTGTCTTAAAGACCCTAAATGACTTGGCCTCCACAACCCTCTGCAGCAATGAGTTCCACAGATTAACCAGCCTCTGGCTGAAGAAATTTGTCCACATTGCAGTCCTAAAGGTTCATCCCTTCACTCTGATGCTGTGCCCCCAGGTCCTAGTCTCATTATTCATTTGGCAGTCTTGGGTATCAATTGGTCTCTTTGGAATGGTGTCTGGAGTATGCCTAGCTTCCAACAGTAACTGTAATCTTAGTTACTGAGAATGGAAGTTGAATTAAACCATCATTGCTTAGAGCAACTATATCATTTGGAAACGGCAGTGATGTTTCAATGAGTTGGAAGCCAGAGACTTGATGAAAGAAGTTGACCCCAGCCTCCCCCGCTCCAGCGCTCTGTAGTGAGACTTCTTCACAACTCCTGCCCTGCTTCGCTTCAGCCACTTGGAGAGCCTCTGTGCCCATCTGTTGTAGGAGGAGTCGGGGAGGGCAGCAACCACTATTTAATGTTGTTTCTGGGATGTAGGTTCCTTTTAACCCTTCCCTGAAGGGTATTGGTGAACTTGCTGTAGTTTTACAATGCTGTCAGCAACTTTTAAAATGACCCATGATATTTCCAGTTCCTTCCAACAACTAAACTTGGACTGGTGACCAGCTCCAAGGCAGAATTAAGAATGGGAGTCCTGTCCTGTCCCAGCTGCCCGAAATATGTTCTCCACTTGAGAGGTTGCATCTTGTAGCCAGATCACAGACTGTAGTACCCCTTCAGTGGTGGTGAGGGAGTGTGAAAAACTGACAAAGCCGGACCTTGAACTCCAGAACATCTGGTCCACCTGCAACTTGCATCTCTATAGCACCTTTAACATCTCAGGGTGCTTCGCTGGAGAGTCATCCAGCAAAGAATGACATAGAGTCGTGTACGGAAACTTGGTCAAAGAGACAAGGAAGCACTTCAGGAAAGTGGGAGGCATAGCCAAGAGGGAATTTCCAGAGGTTAAACCCTAAGCAGTTTGAAGGCTTAGCCAACAATGCAGGAGCAATTAAACTCAAGGATGCACAAGATGGCAGCAAACATTGTTGTAGGCCTGAGCGAGATCACAAGAAGGAACGAGAGCCTTGGAGGCATTTCAGAACAAGGTTGAGAATCCTTGTTCCTGAGATTCAGCAGAATAGGTTGTTGTTGATTTAAGAGGTAAATGTTTTAAATGCGATGGTCAGAAAGCATCTCTGATGTTCTTGTGTTGTGGGACTGAGAGAATATGTGAATGTCACAGCAATGCCTGAATGTTTTGCAGTTCACAGGGTATCATTGGGTACAGTCATCGGTGCGACTGGTGCGAGCGTTTGTGCTTTCGTTCTGATTGTCGCTGTCTGTTGGAGTTGGTGGTAACAAAAAAGTGATATGATTGGGATTTTGTGGTAAGTATCTGAGACACACACACACCCCCTTCCCCTTCACTGCTGTGCAAACTGAAAAGCTGAAATTACATATATGATCTTTCCTTTCTGTGTCTGTCTCTTTGGTTCATTTCGTTCCTGTGATATTTCTTGGGAATGTAATTGCCCTGAAGAAAGACGGTGAGCAATATTTTTAATGATCAGCATCAACCTGCCTGGTTTAGATATAAACGAAGCCTGGCAGTTGCCTGTCAATCCTCATTATCTAAGACAGCACCTTTACTAATCAGAGTCCAGTTGTCAACCAATTAGTACTCTCGTCTCACAGTGTAAATGTTGTTCCCTTTTTACTGTTGGTATTCTTGCAAATTGTCCTGATGAATGCATGATGGAAAGCTTTGTCACATGCTCTTTTTTTTTCAGCAACACTAAATTGTATTTATTAATTGATTTAGTCTAAATTCAATTAATCAGCTGTCGTGGTAGCATTTGGCTCCATGTCACCATGTCTCAGCCTCTGGCTTACTCGTTCGACGAGATTACTGCTATAATATCACCCATGCATTGTAAAGCAAACCATAAGTTATAGAAGCAGAATTGGGTCTTTTGGCCCATCGAGTCTGATGTGCCATTTGCTCATGGCTGATTATGTTTCTCAAGCCCATCCTCCTTCCTTCTCTGTGTAACCCTTGATCCCTTTGCGAATCAAGAATCTGTCTTTGTCTTAACAACGTTCCAATGACTTGGCCTTCACAGCCCTCTGCAGCAATGAGATGCACACAGCCACCACCTCTGGCTGAAGAAATTCCTCATCTTATTTCTAAAGGGTCATCTCTTCAGTCTGAGGCTGTGCCCTTGGATCCTAGTCTCTCCTAAAACATCAAACAATGCACGCGGGAACCGGCCTTTCAGCCTACCCTGTCTGTGCCGACCATAATGCCGTTCTAGACTAATCCCATCTGCCTGCACACAGTCTGTATCCCTCTGTTGTCTGCTTGTTCATGTGTCTGTCTAAATACCTTGTTAACTTTGCTGTTTCTACCACCTCCTCTGGCAGCATGTTCCCAGCACCTAACACCTTCTGTACTTTTTACAAAGAAAACTTTCCCGGCACATCTCCTTTAAACTGCCCCCATCTCATCTTTAACTTATGTGCCCTAGTATTTTACATTTCCATCTTGGGAGAAAGACTCTGACTATCCACCCTCTCCATTCCCTTCATACGTTTGTTTGCTTCTATCCATTCGAAACCACAAACCCCCCAACAGTATCAGTATTCTAACTAATCCACTCAAATCCAGACAACATCCTGGTAAACCTCTTTTGCACCCTCTCCAAAGCCTCCACATCCTTCCTATAGAGTGGCGACTAAATGTGTCCTGACCAAAGGTTTATACGGCTGCAACATGACTTGCAAACTTCTTTAGTCAGTGCCCCAATCATTGAGCATGCCATACACCTTGTTTACCATCTTATCCGCTTGTGTTGCAACTTTCAGACAGCTGTTGACTTGGACACCAAGATCTTTCTGCATATCAATGCTCCTAAGGGTCTGGCCATTTACTGTATACTTTCCTCTTGCATTTGACTTCCCAAAATGCATCACCTCACACTCGGCCAGATTAAATTCCATCTGCCATTTCTCTGCCCAACTTTCTAGTTGATCTATATCCTGTTGCATCCTTTGATATCATTCCTCACTACCCAAAACTCCGATTTCCTGCTAGTGGAAACATGTTCTCCATGTCCACAGTATCCAGGCCTCTCCGTATTCTGTAAGTTTCAATCAGATCCTCCTTCATCCTTCTAAATTCCAGTGAGTACCGACCCTGTATGTTCACCCACTCCTCATTGACAGCCCTTCATCCTTGGGATTGTTCTTGTAAACCTCTTCTGAACTCACTCCAACACCAGCGTATCTTCCTTAGATAATGGAGCTCAAAACTGTTCAGAATATTCCAACTGCAGTCTGACCAGAGCTTTATACAGACTCCACAGTATATCCCTGCTCTTGTATTCTAGCCCTCTTGAAATGAATGTTAACATTGCATTTTCCTTGCTGACTGCCACCTGCACCTGCGTGTTAACCTTTAGAGAATCTTGAACTACGCCTCCCAAGTCTTTGTTCTTCAGATTTCTGAAGCCTTTACCTGTTTAGAAAGTAGTCTATGCCTGCTTTTCTTGCCAAAGTATGTAACCTCACATTTTCCCTCATTGTATTCCATCTGCCACTTCTTAGCCTGTCCGAGTACTTCTGCACTCTCCCCACTTCTCCAACACTACCTGTCCCACCATCTAACTTTGTTGCTGAGTTTGCAGATGATACAATGCCCTCAGTTCCTTCGTCCAGATCATTAATGTATAATGTGAATAGTTGTCGTCCCAACACTGACCCTTGCGGAACTTCACTAGTCGCTGACTGACTGCCACCCTGAAAAAGAGCCCTTTATCCCAACTGTCCGCCTGTACCAGACAGCCAATCCATTCCTTAGCTTGGGCTCTTTGTCCCCTGTGCAATGGTTTCCCAGTTTCTTTGCAGCCAAGAGAAAACATTGATGCTAGTAACCCCCATGTGTTGTTCTGGCATGAAATGGACTGACTTTTAAACTGTGTTTCTTTGCCAGGTTCCCCCTGTGTAACTATCACTGAAGACTCTGTTGGTTTAAAGGTGTGAACACAAGATGAGCTGGAGAGGGTGAAAAGGACTTTGTTTCCACCCTGTACGCAATGAGGACTCCGCCTCCTCTTTCCTATTAGAAGACACCAGTGCCAACTGAGTTCCAGTGTTCAACCTTCCTGAGTGCAGGCGTTAGTGTTCTGCTCCGCACAGGCTGTCATGCAGTCAGAAAGGAACAAAAAGACTGGTGCTATTTTAATGGGTTTGTTTTTTTTTGCACTTTACAGTGTGGTCCTTGCGCTGTATAAGAGTTCAATGATGTATTGCTGCAAAAGGAAAAAAAAAACTGACTTTTACAATCAGGGATTTTGCAGGTTGAGCATATAATTTAACCGGTCAATTCTCACTTTCTATCTAGCATGTTGTATAGCAATGGCTTTACTGTTTTCCTTTTAAACAAACAATTGTTAAGTACACTGATGAAAGTCTGTTTTATAGCATTGAGTTTCCCTGTTCCAAGGGGCCATGAATGGATTTCACCGGATTCCAGTCAAATTACTTCTTGCCCTGAGGAATGTTAAACTGGTACAATGACAAATCCTTACAACTAATCCAGGCAAATCCATTAAGGTGTTGCTGTTTTGTTCAAGTCTGTATCACGGAGATGGGCCGGTCCCATGATGCCAGCTGGAAAACAGTTGTGGGGTGATCATTTCTCCCTGCAATTGTTACACTTTCCATCAATCCTACTTCAGTCCCATTCACACACAGTTTTTGGAGTTTAATTGTCAGGCAGCCCGCTGTTTTTCCTGGTTGATCTGCCTCACCTTTTTTTCTTGTGACCATTTGCGAGTGAGAATTCTTGTGAAATTTCTTCATACGGGTATAATCTGGCTCCACATTCACAGATTATGTTATACAAGCTGCATGCACCACTACATCAGTCTCTTTCTCATGTTGTGATAAGCTTAATTGCTTGGAGATTTCAGCACAGGAGGAGGCCATTTATCCCATTCTACTTGCAGTCAGTTTTGTAGTCTGTTGTAAAACTAATCCAACTGCCCTCCACTCTATCCCCGTACCCCTGTACCTTACTTTGCTTCTAATGTTTATCCAGATTTTTTTTATATAGAGGAAGCACCAGCCATTCCAAATGACGTTGCACCAACTCCAAAACAACTAACTTGTCCGACCATCTGTGATCGATTTAATTAATCACTGGCTCTCCAATCAACGGAAACTCTCTTTCCCCAGTTGCCTTATTAAAGTAATTTATAGATAATCTGTTCATGCTTCATTGAAAGCAGTCCCTGTATAGGAACAAGAATAGGCCATTTATCCCCTTGACAGTCTTAGTTAATCAGTAATGATGAAAACAGGTTGCATAGGTTAGATTTTGTATTTCCTTGAGTTTAAAGATTAAATTGTGGTCTGATTGGCCATTTAAGATTATTAAAAGTTATATGGTGTAGATGGAGAGATCCTGTTTCCTCCTATGGAGAGGTCCAGAACAAAATACCACAACCTTATGATTAGAGTTAAGTTGTTCAAGGATGATTGTGGGAAGCACATCTTTGCACGCACGTTGTTGGAAACCTGGAGCATATTTTCAAAACAATGAGGCTCTGAGTCAACTCAAAATTTCAAATCTGTTGTTATGGTTTATGAAAACAAGGCAGACAGCTGGCATTGATATATAGATCATTAACACATCCATTAACACATCTGAAAGAGAACCAGAAAATTATGTAATATTTTAAAATGAGTGAAAAATGTGTATCTGACGTCTCTCCTTACAGCAATGATTTCCCATGGTTTCTGGTGAATGACACTCCCCACCACTTTAATAATCTACAATGATATCCCCAAGACCAAAGACTGAGCTTGTACTGGGACCCATCAAATTTCTCACTAGGTTAAGGAAATTCAACATTAATTCTTGAGATGTGGGTGTGACTGGCGGGGCAAATAGGTATTGCCATTCCCAGTTAGCTCAAAGGTGGTGATGGTGGAGTATTCAGGCAGTTTGGAACAACAGAGCAGTTCACTAACCCACTTAGAGGGCAGTTTGAGTCAACTGCAGACAGGCAGATTGTGAAAGGATTCCAGATTTTCTTCCCTAAAGCGCACAAATGAATTTATCAGTTTTTCTGACAATTTAAAGCTTCAGCTTCACTTCTACTGATATCCCCTTTTTTATTTATTGATTTAGTTTGGAAATAAAATCATCTTTCTGTGTTAGGATTTCAACCTGGGTTTTCTGCTCAGTAGTCCAATACCTAACCACGACACTAATACTCCAGACTGCTAATTTTAAAACCCCGGATTTTGTTGCCTCCCATTCTGCCTTATCTACCTGCCCTATCACTCAGCACCTTATGCATTTTTACATTGGCATCTCTTTGTGCCACACTTACAGCTGTTATATTGTTCCTTCTCATTCTATACTTAGACTACACAAAGGTATATTCCCTCATGCTTCTGTACTTCTGTATATGTCTTCCCATTCCATGTCTTCCTGAAATCTTTTACAGCCTACCTCACTGTTTTTATCAAGCCCCCTATTTTTGTGCCATCACTGAATTTTGAGGTGAGGTTCCACTGTCTCATCCAAGTAATCACCTGCGTAAAGAATGTTCTTGCATTTACAGCTGTTGGCCAGGGCTCAGTGGGTAGCCTGTTCCCTCTGACAGAGAAAGATATTAGCTTCACAATGATGAGGACACCTCTGAAGCTGATGCTTGAGTGCAGTAATGAAGGAGCACCATCTGGTCAAAAGTGCTTGTTTTTGGATATGTGTTAAACCGAAGCTCTAAATTCCCTTTGGAAGTAAAAGATCCTGGGCACTATTGTTACAACAGTGATTACACTTTGAAAGAACTCAATTGGCTGTGAAGTGGTTTGGGATGTTATGGGCCCTTAATGGTACTATACAAATGCAGGCTTTTGTGGAAAACAAAGGTGAACTCAGCACTGACTTGTGGGTGCACCACTTGCAATCCATCATCTACTGAAGGTCAATGCAATAATTTAGATCTCCCTTCATTGGTTAAAGGTCGAGTTCATGAATCATGTTTACAATTTAAATTTAACCACTCAATTCCATTTGATGTTCTTTTTATAGGGAGTGAGTGGCTGATAACTCTGTTGTTCTTGTGATAAGTGTGGGTATGTTTTACAACTGGGGACGGCAGCAGAAAATTGGGAGTGCAAGAAATGGGATGCACTGAGGTTCAGACAGGGAGTTGCTCCTTGCAGAATTCACCCAGTAGAACACTTGACAAATTTCATCAGCACCTTCCAATTGAATGCAAACCTGCCCCTCAATCCCTTTTCAAAAAGAAACATACCCGGGCCAAAATCTCCATGATTGACTCATTGTGTTAAGCACACAGTTTTTATACTTGATAGATTACTAATTGCTTCTGCTCAGTTCCAGCTTCAAACTTAATGCTTTTTAGTTTAGTCACCAAAGCCCAGACATTGACAATGTCCCAGGTCAAGTGGTTCAAGCTGCAAACAAAAGTTATCAGTTTGGAGATCTCGGTCGCCTGGTCATTTGGTTGTTTGCTCAGGTGAAGTTATCAGGAAAAATGTCTGATATTGACCCTCATTATTGTACATACTTGTTTTAATGTCCATTGTTAATACTCATTATAATATCTATAAAAATGAAAAATTCTGCAAAAACCACGTGACTGGTGCGTTCTCACTGTGATTGACCCTGTGTTCCTGATAAGGTTGCCATTCTCTGCAAAGGCATGTTCCATCCAATGACCTCCCTCCTCCAACCATCCCATGCCCAGCTGTTCAATGTTCCTGTCATTGATGCACAATATTTGCTGATCTTCAGTTTTGCTCATCTTTTCACCCAGCCAATTGGAAAATAATGATAACTCTCAAAATTGATTGACAGTCAAAAATCATCCAACCAACTTCTTGAACCATCTTTTTTTTAAAACCATTCATGAGTGTTCCAAACAAATAGTAATTATTTTTAATGTCTGTGATTTATCTGGATTTTGCTTGTGGTGTTTTCCTGGAGATCTTTAATTCCTAAAGGAAAACAGCGGAGCGTTGGTAGCTGTATTTGCTGTTAACACAGTTCCAGAGCCTTTTGTTAGATATGTGCTGTCATTCTCTTTCTAACTCCTGCTGACGTTTCCATTAACCACAGGTGTCACTTATCAGCCAGTTCATTTCATGTGGTGATAAGGCAGAGGCCTCTGATAGTATCTCAGCTGTATTAATCAGGGCTCGCTCCACTAATGGCTGCGCTCTATCCAAGCACCACAACAACACTGACCAAGTGATAATTGTGAGGTTATGTCCTACTAAAAGCAGGAGAAAATCCAATTCAGCCAATCTTGATCGTTGAGCAGCGCAGTGGCTCAATGGTTAGCGTTGCTGCCTCACAGCACCAGGGAACTGGGTTTGATTGCACTGACTGTGTCTCTGTATGGAGTTTGTACTTTCTCCCCATGTCTGCATGGGTTTCTTCCAGGTGCTCCAGTTTCCTCCCACAGTCCAAAGATGTGTAGGCTACGTGGGTTAGCCATGGCAAATGCAGGGTTACAGGGATAGGGTCTGGGTGGGAGGATGGTGTGGTCATTAATGGGCTGAATGGCCTGTTTCTATGCTGTAGGCATTCTATGATATGTTTTCTATGATGGAGATTGCTGACAGTGCTGCCGAGTGACATTTAGTCATCAATCAGCTGCAGATCACAGTCAGTTTGGTTTCCATCAGAATAACTTGGTATCAAACCTCATTATTCATATTTTGAAAAAGGCTATAAGCAGAACTTCAGATGTGGGCTTAGAGTGACATCAAGGGCATATTTGGTCCAGTGTGGCATCGAGGAGCCCTAGAAAAACTGGAATCAATGGGAATCGGGGCAAACTCTCTACTGTTTGGTGTTATACCTGGCTCATAAGAAGCTGGATGTGGTTGTTGGAGGTCAGTCATCTCAGCTCCACGATATCTCTGCAGCTGTTTGTCAGGTTAGTGACCTAGGCCCAATTATCTTCAGCTGCTTCCCAGCTACACTTGCCTCCATCAATATGGTAGAATTGGCATTGTGTGCTAATCATTAGCACAATGTTCGGCACAATTTGCAGTTCCTGAGATGCTGGAGCAGTTTGTTTGTGTAACAATACCTGGATAATAGCCAGGCTTCAGCTGTTATATGGTGTGTAACATGCCTGTCGTAGCTGGCAATGACCAGATATTTCTGGCTAATGACCAGAGTTGTAACTGATCCAACTACATAAACACCATGACTCTGAGATTGGGAATTCTGCTGCCTTACCTGACTCCCTAAAGTTTGTCCAAAACCAACAAGGCACCAGTCAGGATAGTGATGGAATACTCCTCGTTGCCTGAATGGGTGAACTCCAAAAATATTCAAGTAACTCGATTTGACACCATTCAGGATTGAGCATCATATTTTATTGATGCTGCATTGAGCACTTTCGACATTCACTTCCTCCACACCAAACAGATGCACAGTTGCAATAGTGTGTGTGATTTACAAGATACTCTGCAAGTTTCCTTCAACAACATGCCAGACCCACAACCCCAACCATCCAGAGGGACAAGAGCAGTGAATGTATGGGAAGACCACCGGTTACAAATTGCTGTCCAAGTCTGACACTAAGCTGACTTGCAGCTGTATATGCAACTGCTCGAATTTACTAGCCTCAACCCGCCCCCATGATCTGTCTGACCTCCCTGGACTGACCTATCTCCTCCCTAACTCCCCATCTACACTCACTTTTACTGGCTCCATCTCCACCTATCTTCTCCTCTATCCATCTTCTATCCGCCTCCCCCTCTCTCCCTATTTATTTTAGAACCCCATTTCTGAAGAAGGGTCTAGGCCCGAAATGTCAGCCTTCCTGCTCCTCTGATGCTGCTTGGCCTGCTGTGTTCATCCAGCTCTACACCTTGTTATCTCAGATTCTCCAGCATCTGCAGTTCCTACTATCTTTGCAGCTGTATCACTGTTCCTTCAGTCTCTCTCACATAACCTTGCAACTGCAATCTTAGCATGGTTGTTTTTGTAAAAAAATTAAAATGACCCAGACTAAGGTGCAAGGGGCAGCAATATAAAGTTTAAAGATGGTACAAAAGTGAAATAGTTAATAATTGAGGCTAGTTACAAACATCAGAATGGCATAGACCAACTGGAAAATTGGGCACATTAACCTTAAATTAGAAATATGGGACAATAAAGTGACTTGACTTTGAAAAGTGTTGAACAGAAACATCTTGGTGTCCATTAACACACATCCTTCAAATGGTGGCGCTTCAAGTTGATTGGGTGGTTAAGTAAAAACAACACTTGAATTATTTGGTTTGGGAAGTGAGGAGTGGAATTCTCTAAAACACTCTAAGTGTTAACCAGAGAATTGTGAACAGTTTTGGGCAATACCCTGGAAAGGGTGTAGAGGCTGTAGACAGCGTATAGGGCGAGGAGAATTTGGAAAAATTAGTACTGTTCTTGGAACGGTGAAGGTTAAGAGATGACTGCATCGAGGTTTTCAACATGATGAAAGGTATTCTGGTAAGTGGGTCAATAACTGAGATCATTGAGGAAAAAGCAGAGATGAAACAGAAATGTTTTCACTCAAAGAGTTGGTAGGAATGGAACACTTAACCTGAAAATATGGTGGGAGCTGATTCCATCAATAATTTCTGAAAATGAATTGTACAGATATTTGAAGACAAGGACCTCGCAGGGAAAAAGTGTGGGGCTGTGAAGCTAAGCACAATGGTTCTTTCAAAGACCCAGCACAGGAAAATAGGTTGAATGGCCTCCTGTTGCACTGTGTGTTTCTATAGTTCTAATTTTAATTAATAAAACTTTTCTAATGAACTGTCCAAAGATGACTCACAGGAATATTATCAGGTAAAAGCTGACCTGCAAGTGCGCTTGACTAAAAGAGGAACATTTAATATACATCATTTTTGACACTATTAAAACAATTAAATAAGTAATGTAAAATAGAGTTTATTTTTCATTAATTTAAGGAGTAATTTAAATTTATTCTAATATCTGTTTGGTGATCTGCAGTCACTGTTTAAAAAATGCTGATATAATGGGATAGTCAAACAGACAATGAGAGTCTTAAGTAAAAGTGAAATACTGTGGATGCTGGAAATTTTGAAATAAAAATAGAAAGTTTGCATAGAAATGCTAGTTAAATCTCTAATCCCCTTATAAACACTCACCCATACACGCACAAAATAAAACATGGGTGTCATCATTGAAGGAGGGAAAACTGAGAAAGCATGTCAGTGGCCTTTGTTCACAGGATCTGCTGAGATGGTTCTTGTGCTAATCAGAGTGCTGTTTGGCAGTGTTTATTCTCCAGATGTTTCACTGATTTGCAAAATGTTATAGCTTACAGCAACTGCTGGATGAAAATTACCTTTGTTTTCTTTAGGCTTAAATTAGTTTTTACTGCAGAGAACAGAGAGAGCTCCTGAGCTGCTATATGTCTAAAGGCTTCTCTGTATCTTGTTCACAGTCCCAAGCTGTTCAGCTATCTGAGAACCAAACCTAAAAGTTGTTGGCAGGCAGAAGGCTTTTGCCATCATTAATGAGTCCCTAGTTTACAGACCTCTCAGGTATTGTTATCAACCAAGGCTCCATTTGTGCACAACCCTTTGACGGCAAGCAATACTTGAACCACTGCTGGAAACAGCAGTTATGTAAACATTGTTTACAATGAGTGTCAGGTTACTTGCTTTCAAGCCATGCAGTAATCCTTGGTTATAAATCTGTTATTTTCTCATTTAAGTCCATCATTTATTATAGAATTAAAAAAACTTTAGAATTTATCAGTCTTTTTAAAATGCGCAGATTTCTAACTAAACACATGTACACACACCAAGGTGCACTTTCCTTCAGTTGCCCTGTACTCCTTTCCAGGAGAGAAACAATATTTGCTTCTGACCTCAGTCTTCTTTCTTCAAAAACGGCACCAAAAGCTTTCAATCTTCAGATTTTCTAAGTAAAATCAATCCTTGATTAGTCTAAACCAAAAACAAGCCAATGCTTTCAATGCCCCTTTCCTGGACCCCACACTATAAAGAGTTCTCCATTAACTCCAGCAGTTTGCAATCACCTGCTCCCTCGTACAAACAGGATTATATCGCTGTTCCAGAAACTGCTCTCTAATCGTTTTTCATTTAACCCATCAGAATAGTCACTAATAGTAAGGTAAAGTCACCATAGACTCAGAGGTCCATAGGCCTCCTTTCTCATTAGAGAGCAATGGCTGGTGATGGTTTAATCAAGCATCACTCCACCTCAGATAAGGGGAGAGGTTGAGAAGGTGGGACTTTTGTGGTAATCTCAGCTGTATCAGGAACTGAAGTGACTGTGTTGGCATTACATTTCAAATCACAGCCCACAAACAATATTTGCAGCTGAGAAATATCAGAGCCTGGAGAAACCCAAGGGTAGTACGAACTTGTGGAAGCTCATTGTCTGTGAAAAGCTGGAGCTGTGCTGACAATTCGGAGCTGAAATCAAGAGACAATATCGAGGGGAAGAATTCCAGGAAAGGAGGGTTAACAATCAGGAAGACCATGGCATAGGTACAGATGTGGCCTATCAAGTCTGCTGTACTCTTCAGTGACAATATGACTCATTTGAAACTTCAGCTCCACTGCCTTTT